GGTTCTATATATGAAAAGGTGGATCTATGTGTGAAAGGGGGAAGGATAGAATAATTGTATGTAGGATCCCCATGAGCTACTAGAGGATCTAAACACAGTCAGTAAGTGTAATTGCTTATCTAACGCAGATAAGATAATGCAAATATAAAATAGGCAGTGCCTCTCTCCTGTTCCAGCAGAGCTGCTCTGATTGAGATAGAATCTGAAGGCTCAGGAAACGACAGGACGGCATTTTCTGGAGTAACTTGTACATGGACTCCAACGCGTAACACAAAATTTGCAGTGGAACAGAAACAGAAGTGACTTGCAGGTGAATTGCTCGAGCAGGGATCTAGGCTAGCGCTCGTGTACGAATCCTGTTAGACACACATAATCTTCTACAAGGGCAGTCTTGTTTAAAGCAAAGAAGTGAGAATTCTCATACCCTCAGATCTTAATGTTGGTTGCTCATATATGTATATTTCTGTTTTATGTGCTCCATCCCTTGAGGTATTAGTGAACACTGGATATCGTGGACAAAAAGTTGGCAGTACAGATGAATCTGTCATAACCAGCATGGTCTGTACATGATTAATTTGTAAAATGGCACATGTTGCATCAATATTTATATTTGATCCATTGAGACAGCTAGTTAGTTCAGCATATGGGAAGCATTAGAGTTTTGTGAGCCTACAATGTCATTTCTTACACAGGGTGGGTGTATATAACAAAAATAATTGTGTTTATGTAGCAAAACATACTCACACAGGCTGTATCAATTGAGCTCTCGCATAGCCATTCAAAATACAAATAAAGATATCATTAAAAAATACCCAAGCAATACAGAAAATAGTTCACACACTGAAGAATCCAAATGATGTGCATGCAGAAGAGTTTTCCTATGCTGGAGCCAGCAATGACGGAAGCTGGAAATACCACCCAACAAGCAGTATTTTCAAATGTTTAATTATAAGAATGAGAAGGAGAGGAAGGGAGAGAAGGAAGGGTGGACTGAGATATCAGCTCGGAGAGAATGAACTTTAGGCCTCTGGCTCAGCAAACATGCCAGTTTAATGGTCAGTGGATATTTCTAAAACATGGTGTCAGAGTAGGAGACTGCCTGGCTGGAAGGTCATTAAGAAGCCCATGGATGGATGGGCTTCGTGACCCTCTTTGCTCAGGACTTGAAGACCCAGAGGATTAAGTCTCCTGCCAGCACTCCTGTGTTTTAATATTGGCAAGAGACCAGCTTGAGTTCAAAATAGCTCTTACTTGTCCAGTTGATGCTGCTAACTACTGCTGGCTTTCAACCACCAGTGTAGGCAGGAGCTGGAACTCCTGGGCAGTGTTAACACCACTCCCTTTGCAGATATTGTGGATGTCACTGTCTGACTCGATGTAAGACGTTGCAGGGAACTTCCAAGAGTCGAAGAGAAGGGCTGACACTGGCGAATCTACCCACGAACTCCCCCTGATGAGCCTGTATAACCCTGGTGGTTATACCAAGCCAGCTTTTCATTTTTTCTCCTTCCCTCTGAACGCAGAAGAGCTCCGGGTCTCAAATGCCCTGCTCTCTCCTTAGCAGATCATATTGGTAAATATGAGGAAAAAAACAGAAGCAAACCTGCTTCCTTTCTCCTCAGCCTACTCGAGAGTGATGGTTGTGAAAGTATCCAGCTATACTGAATGGACTGGTCCATGCATTCAGTCTGCTCACCTACAGGATAATGGTTGGGTCAGGAAACACAAGGTTGTTATGTGCAAGGTCTTTCATTCCTGAGGATGTCCAGCTTCCCCTTCTACGCTTCTGCTTCTTACTAAAAAAAATCTCCTTACCTTGATCAGTGTGCTGGACTGCCCAGTATGCAGGAAGCAGCACAAAACAAGTTAGAGATGGTAAAAATCAAATAACTCCCTGGAGTTATTTGGGATTTAAGGGATTGTTTCTGTGCTGTGAAAACTTGCCTTTTGAGCAATGTGACTTGGGCTTTGCCCTTTGCATGCCACTAATTAAGTCCTCACATCTTTGAAATCCTCCTGTAGACTGAGAAAGGCTACATATATTTCAACCATTGACAGCATAATACAACGTGGCAGTGAGAAGCTGCTGATGTACAGACTCCACCGATCCTCCCCCCCGGGCTGGTGGGGCTTAGTGTTCAGCGGTGCCTCTGGCCCAGTGCAGTGGCTTTCTCACCTAGGAGAAACCTGGAGCTGCCCTTCTGCGACTGTGCCCTACAAATCCCCCTGCCCCATGGAGCTGACATGCATCTCAGCGCTCAGTTTACATCTTTCCAGTCCATGGTCCAAGGGCTGCTGGAAGATCCTTTCATCCCAGGAAGGGTGTTGCAGGTTGTGTTTTACTTCCTCGTCCTTCCAGCTCTCTCTCTTCCCCCTTATCTCTTGTTTTCTGGGCAGCAGGGTTTTCAGCCTGTGAAGTTTTCAAAGCATCCAAGTGACTGAGGTGGTCAGTGTAAAACGTTTCTAAATGACTTTGGAGCTTTTGGAAATCCACTGTCAAATCTTAGGAAAAGCTGTTTCATTATGTGCCATTATTAAATGCGCTTTTACTTTGGAAATGATTGGAAGGCTTGGGAAGGGGGAAATGAGCTCTGATGTTTATACAGACAAGAGTAAAGTGCTTCCAAGATATTTTTTCCCCCATAAAGTAGCAAGAACGCACTGATTTTCATCTTGAAGCCAAGAAAACTGTTTTATTCTCTTACAAGTTCTCCTTTGTAAGAAGCCATTTCCTGGCCCATATCCAACAGGGGCGTTAATTCTGAAGAACTGGACTGACAGGAAAAGTTTGTCCTGCAGAGGGTGGGTGCCACAGGAGGGAATATGTCAAGGGCCATTCCCCCTTCCTCCACTCCCAGGGAGCTGGGGTGAAGATGAAAGGCAAAAAACAGCAAAGCAGGTGATTGCTAACACCTTGCTCTCTGCCTGCATCCATTACAGTCCTGCAGACTTCTTACATAGTGCTGGGAATAAGTGTGGTTCAACACTTATAATATTCCCATTGTTAATTTGTATGCTTACACAATGCTAATAACAATGGAGTACAATGAAAGATAGCACAAAAGCCTTAAATTAAATGCAGCCTTTCCAGTATCTCAGCAGGGTGGCAGGCAGGCATATATTTCCAGCTGCCTTTCAGCAATGCCATTAATAAATCATATTTATTTTCCTGGAAGGAGAACTGCTGGGACATCCTTCTGTTTTGGGGGCGGAATCACATTCAATATCCCTAAATCATTGTTGCACATGAGTGTGAAGTTTAGCTTTGAGAATTGCAACTGCCAGAAACTCCACGATCATCTTCCTGCCTTACTTCACTTCCCACTACTTTTCTGTAGTTCTTGTCTATCAATTTACATGCTGTTCTAGTTAATAAGCAGCATTTCCCTTGTATGTACTTACATATTTGAGGATAATCGTCCTTTCTCAGCGTTTGTCTTTCTCTAATGATTGACTCAGACAAATGCTGCACCAGAACATGTCTGAATTCTGAGAGTCTTTGCTCCCTGGAGTTCGTCTGGATTTAAGGAGTGGAGCATGTCTTTTGAAACGAGGGAAAGGTTTGAGTTCAGGTCTAAGTTACATTGCTTAGATGTGCGCAGTCTCAGATAAACAAGTTTCCTTACTTGAGTTCTCTTAATCTTTCCCCACTTTCCTTATTTTTCAAAATGTTTGTTATTTTGATTTTTCCTTAAGATAGCTCTCCAACTTTCCTCTGGCTTTATTTTAAGAAGTCAGGAAGGGAGAGAACCAATAGCCTTGTTCAAAGAATTATTATTAGTGACAGTCCCACTAACTCATTTGCCAAGAAATTGTTTACCTACAGAGAATAAATCTTTAGCTTATTTTTAGCTGGAAAATCTCTGCTAATAAAATACATAATGCAAACTCTTATTTCAATAGAAATTTATGCTCCAAGATGGAGTTGGTGGTCATTCTGAGTGTCTTACATGAAAAGAGAAAAATGTACACAAAATAGTTACAATAATAGTATAATGCCTGATGGTGTTAAAAATTTAGCCCTGTCAGCCTATAAATGGCTTGTGAGTGAGTAACATTACCGTGACAATCTCTGCAGCTACAGGGAAAATGCTATGACTATTCTGGTAATAACTGTCTGTACAAGCAAAGCTGCTGTTTTTTATTGGTAAGCAGTTTAGGTTGGTAGAGAAAATTATGAAAATGCCATTTTAAATGAAGCTTTAGGAGAAAACATTATATGTTTTTTACAATTGAATGTCTAAACTTCATACAATGCAAGCATCTGAAAAGCTCATAATTATATAAGCAGTCTTACGGTACAGGTTGGCCAAATTTGAACATGATGTCCTGCTTCCATGTAAGTATTTGTGCGTTGTGGGTATCTGGAACCATTCAATTAGTGAGAGCTTTTTTCAGTTATTGCAAAATGCAATCCAAACTGAGTGTTGGACTCCCCATTAAGATCCTGATCCAAAGCAGAGCTTCTTCAGTGAGCACCACGTTGGAACTTGCACTCTGCATTTTTACATGAACAGCACTCTGAATTTCTATGTGGGGAAGGGCTAGGACCAGGACTCAGGTTACTTGGGTTAATTTTCCAGCAAAGTTAAGCAAGCCACAGTTTTCTCTTCTCTAAACTAAACATCATGGTAGTAGTGGTCCTTTTCACTGGGGTGCCTTTGAGCTTCTCAGATGGAAAGTACTATACAAACATGAAACATTGTTTGAAGCGAATTAGTGTGGATTAGTGCAAAATCTCTGGCGATGTCTTGAATAACTAATATTTGTTGAAACTCTTCAGTTAAGTCTTCTGAGTCAAAGTTCACACAGGTAGTACTGGGCAAAGGGGGTTGCTGAATAACCAGCTCAGCAGTTTCAAATGAGTGCTGCCCTAATTCATAGCATTCTCTTCCCATTCAGGCTTTCGGTCAAGTGTTTATCTGAGTCTTGACCTCAATGTTTAGAGATATTTTAATGTTGCAAACAAAATAATGGGGACCTCTGGTTGTTGTCATTAGAAAATTGGCTGCGATGGAATCATTGGCTCAGCTGCCAAAGAGGATCGCTGTGGAATCTGCAGTGGTGACGGCAAAACCTGTAAAGTGGTGAAAGGCGACTTCAACCACACCAAGGGGATGGGTGAGTAACCCTCAGCAGCATTTCAGTGCAGTAGAGACTTAACTGCTTGAGGAGAATTAAAGAGAGGTAGTGGTAGCTCTTCTTCTTGGGTGGTATTTGACTCACCTGCTCTAGAAGACACATAAGTTGGCAGTTGTTCCTCTAAAGTTTTATGGGTTTTGACATAGGTGACCATAAATGGTTCTGACTGTTCAGGAAGTTTTACTCTTGCAGACAGTAGGTAGGGGATCTAGCACCACTGATTTTCCCAATTTCTGACCAGTGTGCTCTCAGGAAAAATTCTGTGGAAACATCCAATGAGGAATGGTTTCTCTTCAATAGTTTTCTCTTTGAGTAACTAACTATCTAAGGATAGATAATCAGCATTCAACCTTATCATTTCCTGAGCCTCTTTTCAGCTAGTGAGTTGGAAGTGCTGAGAACTTCCCGGGATCAGGCCTGATGGGGCTGTGCAGCTTCCGAAATTGTTTCTCATTTGAAAAACAAAATCTAACTAGGAGCACAGAGCAAAACCTGACTTGATTCAAATGTGATATTCTCTCTGCTTCTTCTTCCATTGCCCAGATACCAGCCATTGCCTCAGTTTGAAATTCAGAATGCGGTGATGTTTCTCATTTTCAGCGCTACTAATGTGGTTGATTTTAAATAAAAGAGACGAAATCATAGTATCCTCTCCAGTGGGAGGAACGATTTCAGCACCATCTTTGAGCTCTCTGGGAGCTCAGAATGATGTATGTTGTATGTTCCAGATGATTCATGTTATAATCAGGATATCTCAGCTTAATGAGAGAGACATCCCCTCTGAGTATTTTTACTGACACCCTGCCAGAAATAAGTAGTACAGGGTAAAAGAACAGGCATAAGACTTTGCCCTCTCTTGTTACACATGAATGTATGTACAGCTTTGTGTTTGAATTAGTCTTTGTTCCAGAGTTTCTCTTCTAGCCTTCTTGAGAAACCTGTTATCACTCATCCTAATTGGGCAAAGGAAGGAAATCCAGATTTGGGACTTGCAAGCTGCTATGGGAGGAAGGAATTGTCCAGAAAAAATGGCCTTTCATTTAGTGAATGCAGAATTGCCATTTCTACATGCAGGAATACATTCAATATGTGCTACTCCAGGACCGAATTCAGCAAAGCACATAAAGATCTCTTTTAAGCACACACTTCTGTTCAATTGGTTACTAAAGCAGCACAAGTGCTTAGCAGCGTCCTTGAATCAGGGTCTCAGCACTGAAGTCTGGGGCTCTGATTCTCTTCATTGATCTCTTCCTCTGCACCCTCCTGATCAGTGGAGCCAGCTGTGACCAGTGACCTCCTCTGAGGTATGGGTAGGATTTTCCACCTCCATGGCTACTTTCTGGGGCACGCTTGCGTTGCTACGTTGCGAGGCCAACCCATGGGATGATTTCCAGCATTGCAACTTTTGACTACATTGCCTCAACTAGCTTCTACCTACTTATGGCAAGGAATCTGCATTCGGTGCAAATGGTGGAAAAGGTTTGTCATTTCCATGGAGAAAACTATTCTCGGTATCTGTAGCATGTCTTAAAGCTGTTCATGAACTTTGTAGTTGCTCCTGAAGAGTAGCTACCTTTTATCTTTTCCAACCAGACTACAAAACATCTTACACAGATAAATATGAAATTTTTGGGTCACTGCCAGGAAATGACACCAATTTCCAACCAGAGCGGCTGCTTGGGGGTATTAACTTTACATGGCTGTAGGAACAGAACAGCCTCATCTGGTTAACTGTTTTTTTGGCAGCGAGGACGCTACAGGAGGCACTGACCCCCAGTGCCCATATGACCTAAGGGGAAGAGAGGGCTGACTGAATCATGGTCAGTGTTACAGTGTACAAGCATGTATAGATCCTTATTCTTTGCTGACCATCTCGAAAGAGCAAACTTGTCAAAATGTTGCTGTGTCAGTTCCTTCTGCTGCTTAAAATGCTTCCACCTATACCCATCTGACAGAAGTTAAAAGATAATGATTTTTTAGCATTATAATCGCATGAACATTTGTTAGATGTTTTGATTTATTGATTAATTTTAAAGGAAATATAGGGCAATTGAGATTACACAATGCAAATATGGTAGCAGATGCAGGGTTTGCATGTGTAAATGATTGCACGAGTCCAAGTCAAGGCCAACACGCTGCGTTAAGTATGCTGATTTATTGCAGAAGAGAATAGCCATCAAATGTCAAGACACTGATTGTTAAGAAGTGCTATCTGTTTTGGGAAGCCTTCTGCATGTGGGGCTCCACTGACAGCAGGATTTATCCCTGTGTGTCCTGTGATTGCAAATCATGTTGTCAAGCACCATTTAACTGAACTAAACCCATGCCAACTCCTTTCTGTTTCTTAGTAACCAATAGTCATTGTAAGAAGGTTTCCACCTGTGTGATGGCAAAGGCAAAGGCTGTTCCCAAGTGTTTCTCCTGTAAGATGCTTGAATGCTGTTTGCAGTGTCATTGGGTGTTGGTGACATCCTTTGGTGTTGGTTCTTTGTCTTCTTTTGTTTGGATTAGGTGGGGAGATTAGTATCAAAAGCCATGGATAAACTTCAAATCCTTTTACTATTCAGCTTGGTTTGTCAAAGGTATCAGGTACAGGTCCTTTCCTTTCAGAAAAGTTATCTGGGTGAAAGAAAGCTAAATTTGTATTAACCCAGTGAAAAGTGCTAGGTCCGTTTCTTTTTTCCCAACATGATTTCACAGATTTTGTAAGATTCTGCCACCAGGTAGGGCAGGGTGGTGGAACGTTCACAGTGCCTCAGAAGAGATCCTGCAGTTGAGATCTTACCAAGTCTGATGCAGGGTAATCCCGCTGTAACTGGATTCCGTTTCTCTTTTGGAGAGGAGATCAAAAACCTTTACTTGTGACACTAAACATCACATACACTTACGTGTAGCTGTCTGTCTGTCGTAGGCCAGCTAATTGCATTGTTTAGACTGAGGTTTATTTTTGACTGACTGACAGCATGCCCTGTACCTATTTCTGCAAAATAATTAGAAAAAAAAATACGAACTTGTTCTGAAATCCATCTCTGTTTACCTACCCCTGTCACTCACAGTACAGGGCACCTAGAACTATAGGATAGCTCCTCGGCTCATAACCTGTTTACTGATTTATCTCACTGGCTTCTAATAAGATACCTGTCCAGACTCTGAGGCTCTGCCTGTAGTACTCGGAAATCTACTTTAAGAATGAGGTGTTTTCCTACTGCATCTTGTCTCTACTGATTTTTCTCAGTAATGGGAAGATTTTCATTGCTGCCCTTTGCCTGTGATCCAAAAGAAAGACCACACTTGTTTGTTTGTTTGTTTGTTTTTAGTGGCAGAACATAGTAAAATGAGACATGCCATTTACTGTGGCTAGAACTTTGGGGACTAAAGAGAGTCTTTACTAGCGATTTTTTTAAGATGGTTAAAGAGCAGGCTTTTTAGTTTGTACTTTGCTTAACCAGCATATATTTAAAAGAAAGAAAGGAAATATGAACAATGGTGCTGTAGTGCTGGCTAAGAACATCTTTAGCCAGCGCAAGAAATTCTCTTCATGTCAATAGAGTGTACATCTAAATGATGAGAAAATAGAGCCCCATGAATAACTCTCAGAGTGTCTTAGGAGGGTTTAAGCAGAGCATATGGGACAGAAATTATGGCAACCAACCTCTCAGCAATAGTAGGAGGCTTTGAAATCTGTCTGTGGCTTCCCTATGAAATGATTTTCTTCCAAGCCCGCTATCCCATGGCTGGAAGTGGGCAATGATGGGTAGGTGCCTGTGGAGGAATTAATCTCAAGCTAATAGCAAGTGAGAATCATCGCAATTTTTGGCTGCTCAGAAAATGAACATGTCGTTACTAATGGACATTTTTCCACATCCCTGTAACAACTGGCAATCACCAAAAGGTGCAAAGGTGGGAATGGTCATGGAGACCCCTTTAGGGAAGCTGTGTTGGCCCTCTCCAGCAGGTAGATAATACAGCCTGGGTTCCTCAGCTACCAACCTGAGACCTTGCATCAAGGCATTTTTTGGAAGTCAGATAATGGGATGAGCGCTGTTGACTTTCTCATGCCCCAACTGTCATGTGTGTACAGGGGAAAGATATGAAGGTACAGTGCCCAGAGCTCAATACTTTCAGCCATGGGATAATTTCTCCTTTACCCCTGAGTCTGCGTTTCTCCTTTACCTCTGACTAAGCTCTGAACCAGGAAAACAGTTTTATAATAGAACAGTGACGTTCTGAAATTCACACTACGCTTTCTCTTCTTTCTGGGAATAATAACGATGGCTAATAATGGATTTTCCTGTGTGAGCTGCCTTCCTATTGCAAATCTCTCCAGTATTTAAATGAAGATACAGTAGCCGCTGTTCACATATTAATCTGCTTGATGACAAAGCTACCTCTTTGTTCTGATGTCTCTCCTAATATGAGTTACACCATATAATTTGTATCTAGGATTTGCTTCAATCACTGTCTTACATTCCTGAGACACTGATGTAATGCAGATTATCCAGAAAGATTGGTGTGTGCCAAAGTAACTGTTCCCAAGGTGGAGTATACTACATACAGCACTATAAATTATCAAATAATGAAGTTCTCCTGTTGTACTTTCAAAGCTTCATCTTAACAGGCTGATTTATGGGTGAAATTACTAGAAGTACTGCCTGATAGTTGCCAAATCTCATCAGTCTTTAACCAGTTCCTCATTTAAAACAGAACTTTAAACCCAACCTTGCAAACTCCTGCATTGCAGACAATTATCCTAAAACCTAACAGATCTTTGAGAGTCCTTGACTCTGAGCCAAGACTGAGACTTTTTTTTGGTCTTGCTAGCTGACACTTGATAATCTTCCTGGCAATCTGCAGTTACGGTTTGCTTAGTAAAACGTGCCTGGAAAACAATGGGGATGTTTTCTGGTGCAGTTATCTCAAAGATCAGGAATATTCTGTGACCAACAGCCTGACCTTAGCTGTATGCACCAGACTGGAGTGGTGATAGCAATCTGAGTTTGGGCCTGTGGCAAAGCTGCATGGATGGTGTATTTAGTATATTTGCGGTAGGATTTGACCGCTAACTCGCACAGTCTTGCTGGAGATGATGACTAAAAGTGTCAAGGCACTTCCATGGGACATGCCCAAGAATTCTGCTTTGTCTCTGAACGGACAGTTCAGATCCCTGCAACTGCAAAGTGGTTCACGGTTCGCTAAAGGAAAACTAAAGGTCAGCAGTCGGGTTTGTGCCACATGAGCGCAGTGAGTTAGCATAGTATGTTTTTTCTTATTCAGGAGCTGTGCATACAACCCCCCAAAGCCATCAATCAGGATTAGAAATTACATGAGGAGAAAAATCTGGTACGAGACCAAACTAAACAGTCTCCAGAACTAATACCCTATTAATAGCTTATACTCCACTATTTACCATTGTAAAAAGTAACGTGAAAGTCAGCTTTTCCACGTGGTGTTTCTCTCATGACACAGTGATGAAATGAGAGTGTATTTATGGCACTAGCCGAACCTCAAGCACAGCTCCGCAGCTTGCTCACCTCTAAAGCAGTGTGACACACTCCTGGCTGTTGCGGGGTCAGGGGGCAGATCCAAAGTTCGCTGAAGTCAGTGCTTGGCTTTCCATAAGATCAGTGTAATTTTGTATCTAACCCCTGCATGGTTTAGCTTTGGGCATTTGTATCTGGCATGTGATTTAAAGATAAGTAAGTAAATAGTCCTCTAGCAGGTATGTTAAATTATCTGAAACTTGGGCATATTCCAAAGTGGATTCCTAACAGGGGTGTTCAGGTATGTCATAGGGCCTGTTTCAGCATGATGGACTGTCCTTAATCACACCTTTGCGGGATGCTCACGTCTGGTGGTAACTGTTGGTCGGGTTTATGTGCAGATGCATGGGGGGCAATGAGGGTGTTTCGCTCCTAGAATGCTCTGTTTGACTGTAATTTAGTATCTCAGCTGATGAAAAAACAACTCCCAGCAATGTCTAGAGTAAAATCTGACATCTGTTTGCTTTGACTTTATAACAGATTTCACTACTGCCTTAAAAAAATGACCCTGGAAGTAATAATTGTGCCCACTCTGTAGTAGCAGAGGGGAGCGCTATTGCTCTGACCTCTTTACAGCGGTGTGGTTTCCAGCCCTGCTCTCCCTCTCTTTCTGTTTTTCCTGCAAGGGATGACTGACTGTTTCGGAAAGAACCTGGTCGAGGGAGAAGTAAATAAAATAATAAACTAAATAAGGAGGAACAAGTGTAAAAAGAGCTGAGCTGAAATGGCAAAGGAAAAGTTTAATCCAAAACAATGATCGGGGAAGGAGGGAGTGTTTCTGGGCCAAATCAGCTTTGTATCCAAAGCACCTTGCAAAACCTGAGTGATGTGATCGGGCCTTATTCACAGGACAGGAAAGGGGCTGAACCCCAAAACCCCACCTATCTCGCTCCATTTTATGATGCTGATAGAACTACTTAGTACTGAGATGCATGAGGCTGTCAGCATCCTCCTTTGTGGCCCCTCATATCCGTGTAGCAAAAGCATGGCCATTCAGCAGCATTCGTCCCTAAAAAAGCCCCCCAAATGTTGCTACATGCTAAAGGATTCACTGCTCCTTACCCCAGCACTTCTCCAACCCATCGGTCTTGAATGGCCCCAATTTCCATAAAGGCAGGGCTGACACTGAACAGCCTCACACAGTCTTTTAAAGCAAAGAAGGGAAGAGGGAACATACAGAATGAGCTATTTAACCTCGAAAAGAAAAGGGAGAGCAATAATCCAGATGAGGTGCCAAGTTATACACTGCAAAGTAAATTGGGTGGCCAATTAGAAAGAATCAAATCATGGTCGTAATAAGATTAGTGTCATTTACAGGGGCCTGATTCAGAGTGCAGTGAAGCCAGTGCCTGACTCCCAGGCCTTTGAAATGGCCCTAATGCCCCTCAGATTTATAGTTTAAAGGCACCACTTCCACCCTGTGGAACAAGTACGTAACTCCAGATGGCCCTGTGGTGGGGGAAATAGCCTACATTTCCTTATAGCTCCTAATTATTCTTTGTGTTATTCTATGAGTCAAAAGAGGTATAATTACATCATGTTGCTGGTTGTTGAAGGGAGCATGAAGAGGCCAAGAGAATTTCAGAAAGATAAAAACCAAGAGAATTCTATAAAAATGTGATGGGGTGCTATAAAAACTTCCCTACCGTGTCAGAGCGTCAGATGCTCAGATGGTCCAATTTGGCGTGAGCTGTTGCTGGTGGGGTTTAGAGGTGATTGGTAGTCAGCCCTGGAGAAACTTTCAGCTCTGTCGTTGAAGGAAATCTGAGCCATGGAATTCTGTTTAGCAGGCGAATGCAAGGAGACGGTTAACCATAAAATCCTATAGAATTGTTGTATAAAGCTAGTGCGCAAGTGAAAGCAAATTTCTTCTCCTCAATTTTCCCACTGATTCCTGCAGTTTAGTTTTAGCTTTGCCCAAATGTTTTATGGAAGAGGGACCATAACTGATACCGATCACAGCCCCAAGAAGGTTTTTCTGGGAAGGGAAATCAGGAGCATCTTTTGGAAACAAAATTTCAGATCACGCATGTCTTGTTCTGTAATGTGCAGCGTTGTTCCTGACAGTAACGCTTTGCAGGAGCTCTGAAATGGTCCTCCTGCATCTTTGTCAGTACCACAGAAAAGCCAGGCTGATGGAAAAGGGAGCAAACCTAATTAGGCCCAGGCACAAGCCTGAAGTCACAATTACGCCGCGCACATGCATTTCTCTCCCTCTTCTCAGGCCGAAGTGATTAGTCACAGCCATGCAAGTCACAGCAGTGAAACTTGGCTGCCACAGTAGGGGCTGCATTTGAAGTGTTTCCCACCATTCCCCAACCTGGGCAGGAGTTGATTTTTCTTGGTGAGATACTGAATGAATGATTCCTCTGGCTGTCTGTGGGATGCTCTCATCCATCTGCCCTTTTGTTACCATAGGTTACATCGAAGCAGCTGTGATCCCTGCAGGTGCCCGGCGGATCAGAGTGGTTGAGGATAAACCTGCTCACAGTTTTCTGGGTAAAAAGACAAAAAAAAATGTTTTAATTCAAAACTCAGCTCTGTTTTCTGTTAAAGTGGCCCCTCTCTAAATGACCCATAAGATGATAGGTTTGTTGCTGTTGCTTTCATTCTTGTTGCAGTCGCTCCCTGCTTTGGTAACTTGCTTTCATGATGCTGGTTTGATGTGAAAATACATGACACTTACAGGCCTGTATACAAGCCCAAAGGACCACAGAATATCATATATGGACAGCAGGGTTCCCGAGCAGCACGTGCCACACAGCTGCCAGGAGCGCACAGCGCTTTGGGAGGCAGTGGGAAAGACAAGAGTGCATTTAGAGACAGGAGCGGCAGGGCTACAGACAGACAGATCCTGCGCTCAGCTCAGGCTGGATCAGATGCAGGACGTGGCCGCTGATATCCCTTGATAAGCTGATTGTGGAGTTGCCTGCGCCATTTCCTGCAGCAGCAGGTTTTCACTTGATGCCGTACCCAAGACTGGATCCTGCAGTCCGAGATGGGCTAGTTGCAGCCTCTGGTCCACTTGCCTATATTTTCTCAGGCCAAATAATTGGTTTAATTCTCTTCTCATTTCTATTTCTGCAGTCCCCTTGAGGTGAACAGGCTTCCTGTTCCCCTTCACCCTTTTCTGGGTAAACAAAGTTTTAGCCCTTGGTGAGGGCTTAAATTTGTATGTGTTGTTCTAGGGCATGAGCTGTGAAAAAATCTGTTGTCCAGTTATCAGCCACTCAGGTTAAGGATTGGATGGGCGTTTGGAAAATGCAGCTAGTCATGTTGCATCAGTCAGCCTGATTGTCTGCCTCTCATCTCAACCATTAAGATGTTTCTTATGTCATTTCTATGATAGATGAAGGGCTTTATCTCCAGTCTACCTCTAGAGATACCAGGTCATAGAGGTGCTCATGTCTCATTGCCCTGAATTCTCACAGGAAGCCTGTGGCAGAGCAAGGAGTTGAAAGAAGGTTGCTCAAGGCCCAAAACAACACCCCACACATTAAAACGTTCTTTGCCCACTCTGAGCAGCATGGTCACACATTGGGGAGTTTCTTCTGCCTCTCTTAAATTCGTCATGCTATGCAGCTATTCTCTGTGGGAAGAGAAAGAGATAAGGGAAAATCCCCCAAGGTCATTTACACTTAGTGGACTTCTGCCACTTGTAGGTCCCTGCATTGTCAAACCCAGGCATTTCTCGCTGTTGATAAGTTCATTGACACATGATTTTTCTCCTTCCTTATCAAACAGCGTTTCAGCCCTTCCTCACACTGATGTCCTCGTTGCAGCGGTTGGTACAGAGGCATGTTCCAGCTCTCCCCTGTCCCTCAGAAGTATCACGTACACACTGGCGCTGTTTTCACTTGTGCCTGTTTTGGTTCTCCCAAAGTGAGCTTCTCACACTGGAGACATTGCCAGGTTTTAGGGTACAAAAGCACTCTGAAAGATGGGATTTGTTTCCAGGCCTGTCGTAGGACCTGTGAAAGGATAACAAATCTTTTTGTCCTCCTCCGTTTTGCAGAAGGAGAAACTGAGGTGCTATGATTTGCTCGTGGCTGCACAGTGAGTCAGTAGCAAAGCTCAGACTAGGACCCCTGGTTTCTAATTTCCACATGTCTTCCTTATAATCCTCCTCCTCTTTGCAGCCAAGAGGAGATGTCAGTATCCGGTAACAGGATATAGGATGCTGCTGAAAACATTTACAAAGTGATTGTGTCTTGACGATTTCAGATCTAGTGCTAGTAGTTTTCTGTCTTGGGATGCTACCAAAGCTGGCAAAATCACTGGGAAAGATCCTTCTCTTCTCTATCTCTGATTCCAGCTCCAGGGGGAAAAAAAGAGGGTGAATCCTGTCGTTCAACTGCCCTTGGGTTAAAGCATTGGCATTTGTGCCACTTCTTGGTAGGAAGCAAGTATTGCTGCTGCTACTATTTCTGCTAATGCTGCAGCCAGACTGCTGGGAGAGGATTACGCCTACATGTAAGATGTTTGACATAGCAAAGCACTGATGGAACAATGAGAACCAGTGTTTCCTTGGACTTTGCAAACATTCTGCTTTCTGGAAGCCAGCCTTTTTGTTTGTCTTGGTGGGATTTGCACAGGGTATTTGTCAAGGGCTCGTGCTTTGGCAGATCGAGAATCTGAGAGCTAGTACCTGCTAGTAGCTGTCCGTTGTGACCATGTAACCTTGACTTGAGCAGATATCTCTCCGCTGGGTGGTAAAAATCAGAGAGCAGAATTTGGCCCTGCCTGCATGACAGAGATAATAATTCTTGTATGGTTCTTAGTCCAAAAGTTGAACCCAACAAGTGGTAATCTGGTCATTTTAAAGCTTCTGAATACTTTCAGCCCTTTGATTCATGGTCAGGAACCAGGAGAACCTCTCTGAGCTTTCCAAAGTTTTCTCTTCCCAGGAACAATGGACACAAAGAAAGAGTAGCTGAAGAACAGCAACAGGAGTGCTCCAGCAAGACAAAAAAGATGACCAAGGGAACTAAATCCAGTCACTCTCATAGGCCACAAGATGTATTGTAAATGCAGGTCTGACTATGGAAGCATTTTCTATCTCAATTACACTGACAAAGTTGAGCCTAATCAAGCCCTGTTTCCACTCAGGTGCAGTGTTTTGGAAATGGGCCCAGTGTAATTTGGAATCATTATTCCCTGTGCTGGGAGCTGTGCCTGAAGAATTTCCCTTCACCTACAGTCAACCTAGGCTGGCTGGCTTGGCTGGCTGTAAAGCTTAAAAACCACCGTGAGCAGGAAATGCCTCGGCAGTTTGTGTCCAGAGGCTGGGAAGCAGGCTGGAGGGACCAAGGTGAAAATAAAGATCTGACTAGATGCCAGGTTTAGAAATAGTCAGATTGGTCAGTTCCTGTCTTCTAGCCAATGAGGAGAAGAGAAGTTATGGGTTGTTGTTGGGGTTCCTTTTCCCATAGCTGCCCTACTTTACAGCTTTGAGCCAGAAGATAGCCTGGAGATGTAAGAGCAGATGCTTGCTACTTCCTAAATGAAGCTGTTGCTCCATTGGTAGTTTGATAGGGCTGGCTATTATTAACAGTTTTTATGGAGGCACTCCCATGTCTGAAGTACTCACAGGCAAAAGAAGCATGGGAGAGAAGTCGGAGAGAAGTAGCTCCTGAGAAGGGAAATCGGATTATTAACAAGCCCACACTGTGGACTTTTGTTCCTACCAGGGGCTGTAAATACTGAGAGGGAGCATGTTGAAGCGCTTTGGACTGACCATCAGAGAACACAGTTGTGTTGCCCTGTCTCTGTTCCAGAGTGCTTGCTCTGTGTGCTAACCAGACAGCCCCTTGCACGGTTGGGAGGAGGGAAGAGCTGTGCTTCCCTACCTCATTGGAGGCATAGGATACCAAGAGAGCTGCAGCTAGGCATCCAAAGCACAATAAGTCCTTTGGGTGCTAGTTTAAATTATTGGGAGAACTGATTGACAAAAAGAGGCTCATAATTGCTTCCCTGCTTGGGCTTTCCCACCACAGTTAGATGAGTTTTGGCGGAGAAGACTGAGTATCTCCTGCTCCTGAGTCTAAGAGATGCTGGGCAAGTGTTTTCTCTGTTGGATGCTTTGCTTACTCTCCAAAATGGGAGTAAAGATACTTGCTGTCCTCTGCAAGGTGCTATTGCAGTGCTTGGATGAAAAACACAGCATTCAATAGGTTTAAAAGGCCCTACTCACCCTGTTGAGTTCAAGACTATCATGTCTGCTCTTCAGCAGAGCCAGGCCTGCAGTAGCTGTGTGCAGCACCAGGCATGGGAGGAATAGCAATAGCCTATGTCTAAGAAACAAGGGGATTTTATAGTTGCAGTGTAGATGCCTACTGACAGGGCACTTGCATGGAGTGAAGACAAACAGTGGTGAAGACATTTTGGCTCAGATACTTAGCTGAATCTACAGCGTAACTCCTGTCATCCAGAGCAGCCTCAAGCGGTGCCTTTGAGAACAGGGCTATTTCTAAACTCTCCTTCTGCTTGTTGCCTTAGGGATCAGTGCCTGCCGCTATCAAAATCAAAGCTTTCTCAGAAGAAAGATCACCAAAGATTAAACATTCTGGTTTCATCAGTGAGCTGTCTTACTTTGATAAGGTGGAACCAGAGCCTAGTTTTAGCCACGCAAGCTCTCATAGACTGTTTTGAGCACATGCTTTGGTATCTTTACATGTCAGCCATGCTGCTGTGGATAGTTTTATCTCATCCATAGCTTTGATTGTCGTGTTCAGGACTGCTCAAGGCGAGCGTGATACCTGCTTTGATCTGCCTGGAAGCCACTGGGCTTTGGCAGTGGAAAGCAAGCCTGCTTCAGAAATCTGTCTGAAGTTGGCAGAAGGCACTTTGTAGACTGGGAAGCAAACCGGAAAGAGAAGTAAGCTGCAGACAGAGTTATATTGCTGTAGCGTGCAATACCAGGCCGTCATCATACACCGTAGTCTACAGGCCAGAGGGAGCCTTTCTCAGAAAAAACATCCCCCCTACACAGATCCTGTTCCTTGGGTGGAAACTGTAGCTGCAGCTTCCCTTCATCCTTGCTTTAGAGACTTTGGACAGCCCCTCGTGGGAGCTTGAGGGCTGTCAGGAAGATTGCATGCAGCAGGATAGAAACCACCTTTCTCCAGTAGCTCCCCAGGGTGCAGACCCTCTCAGAAAGGCGCACCCAGGCACAGAGGATATTGAGGCCTTCATTGCTCCGGACTTCTCCAGAGGTTAGACACTATGGATGATACTTTATCTGTAAATTAAATGTGCTCTGAAAAGCTCCTTGGCCCCGAGGCCACTTATCACGGAGCATCCCCCATATGGGCTGCCTATGTACTATTTATCGGAAAGTTCAGGCTGCTGACCCATGCTGGGAGTTGTTTGGGAGAATTCTAGTTGACCTGGGCTATGAAGTTCACCAGGGACCATTTTTACAACATAGAAAAGGGTGTCCCTGTGCCTGAGAACAAGCCTGGGCACTGGAAATGGAGGAGTACCTTTCGGTAGTGTCCTGTGCTAGATGCTTCAGGTGTATCTTCTCACCTTCTCCAGCCCATCTGGTATCTATGGAGCCAGGCACTCGTCATGTTGAGCTAAGCAGAACAGTTTTTCAGGAAATCCCCTAAATGGAAATCTGGCAGGGATTTTCTTCCTCTTAAACCTCCTATGAGGAAGGGAGGAGCTGGCCTCTTGCTTCTTGAGGGACCCTTTATTGTACTAGCTGTATAGAAGGTGTTAAACGTGTGCTAGCCAACCATAAGACAAGGAGAGTCTATACAGAATAGTCCAGTATCGCTGCAAGCACTCCTCAGAGTTAATTAGACCAAGCTGGTAAGTCAGTGTGGTGCTGTGGGCAGGAGGTCCTCTTCTTCATCTGCTAGGCATGGTATGGAATTGTACATAGCCTAAAGCATGGCTAGAAGGGTTTGTTGGCTTGTTGTGGGGACTTGGTCCAAAGGAAAGACAGTGGGAGATTTTCTTATTGACTTGAAGAGGTTTTAAAGCGACCCCTCTTACCTTCTCCCAACACGCTCACGTGAAAGCCAAGGTCTTACTTTTAACTGGAAGAGAATAAAATAGGCTTGAAAAGCTAGAGGTTAAGGAAATAACTTGGTAAAGGCTTAGCCAAGAGACACAGTAAACCTTGAACTGAGGAAACCCGGTAGCTGAAAAACACACAGGCTATTCTGTCTGACATCTGGGCAGATTTGATCCGTGGAACATGGATCTCCACAAAGGGGACCTGGGACTTTCTCTCTGTTAGAACAGGGCCTGCCAATTTTCTCTTCCCTCAGCACATCACACAGACATCTGAATAACTGTGCTTCCCTTGTAATGTGGAGAGCATAGAAATCCCTAAATGACCCACACTGACATTTTACAGTAATACGATGTCTTCACGGCTGGAGTTGCCTTTCAGTGTTTGAAGAATTTCAGGGATGCTGATGCAAGAGGTTTTTCTGAAAGGAAAGACATGATACTTGAAGTATCTTTCCTTCTAAAGAGTCATCTTACTGGGCTTCCTTTGTGCCTCAGGGCTTGCTTTGTCGTTCTTGCTCACATGCAGAGGCACTTTTTGGCCGCAGGGTTGTGGTTCTGCAGCAGCTCCAGTTTTGCCTGTGTCTGAAGCTTGTGGACTCTGGAAGGAGGGTGGCTGTGGCAGGCTGTTCATTGCCTGCTGTTGTTTTTCATCTGCGGCAGGCTGTTCGTTGCCTGCTGTTGTTTTTCATCTGCACCTGGCTTGGTTACATCAAACCTAGGGGTAGACAACGTCTCACCTGCTTCTGCCTTTTAGGGTAGGTAAGGCTGATACCTTAGGCTTAGGCCTCAGGCAGTATCCTGAGTGCAATCTCCATTTACTTCTGCTGTAGCTTTATAATGTCTCTGCAGTTTCTTACCTGGCAAAAAGCCTCTAGAGTAATTTAGAGCAACCTATGGGCCACTCTGAATTATGCCAGTAGCTAGTGCTTGCAGGTTGGAATATTTTGCCCTCCAGGCTTGAGCAGAAGGTGGTATTAAGCTGATCTGCCAAGTTCGTATTCTGCTCACTAACCAGTGTTCTTCCCTTTATAACCTGATGAAAGCTAAATGTTGGCCTGTTCAGTGTTTACATTATGGAGTGCATGCAAACGGCAGAACAGCTTCCTTTTGTACTTGCAAATCTTCACATGTTTTCATGATGATTTCACTGATGTTTTCTCAAGGAAAAATTAGGAAAATACTATTTCAAAAGATCATTCTGCTTGGAAACTAGAATAATTGTGAAGTTATCTTGCTGTATTTGGAAGGAGAGTTCAGAGGTAAATGATCTATGAATTTTATGTTAATACTTGAAGTTCTGAATATGTTTCATTATTTCCTATCCAAATGAGAATCTTTGCACCCAACTGCTGCCAGACTTTAACTGATCTCAGGGTGGGAGGGAGGTCTATGTACAAATATGCACATCTTGCCTTGCAAAACAGGCTTCTGTTTACAGCCGTGGATGCTCTCATACTATTTCACCCTAAGGACCAGTTTCAATAGCCGTGAAAATGTAACAGAACAAGTGTGTTAAGTATTCCATCAGTAGTATCTTCAAATCATTCTCAAGCAGCTCTTCTGTAGTATTAGGTTCTTATATCATGCCTGTCATTTTGGTATATGTGTCCAAATTTATAGCATCATCTGTTTTTCTAAGAATAAAAACTAAATAGTTAGATTTGGGAATAATCCTTAAAGTGATATAAATGTTACTTTCCAATGTACCAGAAGCACCAGACATGTTTATTTTACAGGCATGTCTACATGTTTACACCGTAACCTTTGACTGATAATATTGAGATTATTCTAGGAAGAACGATATCTCTGATTGTTCATTAGTTATGCTCGCTGTGTACACTTGGCACTCCGCTCAGCTTGGGTAAGGAAATTGGGCCAGTAAGTTCTATTCTTTTCTAGTCAGTCACTTCTGCTTGGTGGTTCTTGCATGTTAGCGCAATGCTGCAGTATTTTAGGTTTACCTTTAAACACCAATTAAATCTCTCTTCATTCAGTTCAAAGAAAAACATTCTAGTCGTGCAAACTTTTCTTTGCGAAAGCAGAACTTTATACGTAACTGAATGCAACACTGTGCCTTGAATATGCGTGCTTTTCAGACATGCTCCTGAAATAGATCAAAGCGTAGAAGAGTTCTACCATGTAGTCCTAAATTAGTAATATTTTTTCAAGGACAGTGGGTAGTTATTTTTCCTTCCTTTTCCTTTGTCAACTCCTGCTGCACAGTTTTTTTCCTCTCTTTAAATTTTCTGGCAGTGGAGCAGTACAGAGAATGCCTCACAGTTTTGAAGCCAGAGAATGTTGCCTCTTTAGGACGCAGAACCTAATAATTTTTAGGTACTAAAACCGTAGCTATAGCAGTCTATGTGACATCGTTGCTGCTTAGTAGCAATGTTAATATAATTAGAAATGCCTTCATCATCTGAAATACAAAGTATTCCTGAGTTAGTCACTTTGTGACTAGCCCGCTAAAATTATGTCTCATTTTTCTTTTAAACACAAGTCTGTTACAAGACTACTGCATCTTGCACTTCAGGTGGGCTGAGACAGAAGCTCAATGGTCTATATTTTAATTATGGATTTGCTTTCATTTCATCCCATGGTGTTTGATTCTTTCCAGCTCTAAAAGATTCCAGTAAGAGATCCATTAACAGCGACTGGAAAATTGAGCTTCCTGGTGAGTTTCAGATCGCAGGCACTACTGTCCGGTACGTGCGAAGGGGTCTGTGGGAGAAAATCTCTGCCAAAGGACCAACTAAAATACCACTGCACTTGATGGTAACTTTATATCCTTTGTTTGTATTTCTTAAGTGATGCAACATAAAGGGTTTATATCCTAGCTCAAAGTTAAATTGTGCTTGTTTGCTTCCTCAGCGGAGTTTTTTAAAAATTTCCTGTTATGTCTGTCCTTGCATTCTTTTGCAGCACTGCAAGGGCTGGAAAAACCCAGCTTCCTACTTAAAAAACAACTGGAGCCCTCTTCTAGGATAACATGCAGTGTCCCAGTAGACTCACCTTCAGGAGAGGACACTCCTGTAATGTGCCACAGACAATGTGACAAATCCATTCTAAAGGACGTAGGTTTTCAAGGGCCTTATTTATCTCATGGACATACCCTCTCACGCCCACGCAGAAAGGATATTTGCCCTGAACACCTTCTGTGCTTATGCCAGAACATATTCTATATTTAAATACACTGTTACTTAAACAGGCAACATGCAGATTTTGTATGTGTAGAGAATACGTGTGAATTTGACCGTTTGCAGTGACTTACTTGCACACAGAAATGTTCCTTGTTTTATTTATATATATTTTTTTTATTTTATGTGTTTTAACATATTGTTGAAAGTCTTTGCTAAGGTTCAGTATAATCCTTTTGTTAACTGGGCATGTCATTTTGTGAACAGTCATATTAATATGTTCAGCATGAGAACATGAGTCAGAACTGGGCAGGGGTCAGAAGAACAGGATTCTAGTCCCAGGCTGACACTGACAGGCGATAGGGTGACCCATGGGCCAGCTCTTTAATGTCTCTGCTAACCTTAATGTTTCCGTCGCTAAGATAGATGTAATAATGCCTGTGTCAAATGAGTGTTACTAGTTGAATGCGTGCAGAAAGCTTTGCAGTTTCTATAGAGAATGATGCATAAAAACATAGAGCGTTCTAAAGTATGGGTTGTTTGCTGTAACTTCCTTAATGCAAGTCTTCCCTTCCGAAAGCAAGACTCTGACAACATATTTTGTGCCACCGAGGTTTGCCTAACCTCTGGGCACCATATGAGAGAAAGGTGTCGCACTGGTACCTTTTGGGAAGATGCTCTGCAGGATTCCTTTTTCAGCTCTAGAAATCTTCCAGGGCGTTCCTTGGTTGAGGCTCATTGCAATAAAATCAGGTGTCAGCATTTTGCAAACTTCGGCATCAGTAGAGACCTATTTTAAAAGAAATATTCTTTTCCCCTTCATTAATAAGTAACTGGCAGAGGAAGCTAGCGCCTGTGAGGTTCTCCGTGTGTACCCTTTTCAAGTACAGACTGACATTTTCAGGAGATATGAGGAGAGGAAGTTTTCCTTCTTCACCTTCCCCCAGAAATGATTCAGAAAGAGGAAAGCGAAAGTTACCAGGCCATTAAAAAAACATGTGGTTCAAAATCACTTTGAGTCATAAACAAAGCACACATGAAGTCTTTTGCTCAAGTCAGACATTAATCTTTTTCTTAATATAGGATTGCGAGTCTCATTCTCTCAGCACAAGAATGGCAGGATGGTTACCAGTTAACTCTAAATAGAAAACTGTTGTCCAAACAGTGGTGGAATACACTGCACTGACAAAGAGCCACAAGCTTCAGTTTGTCCATTGTGACTTGCATTTGAAACCAATTATACACACATACACACACACCAATTTAACGTGGCTACAAAATTGCATGAAATTGGTTTCATATGGGCCTTTAGATTCACTAGTCTTCCTCCCATATTGAGATAATAAAGATTTCTTTTTAGGAGCTTGTTTTTAATACTTGAGGTATTTCTTCAAGTGCATTACTCTAAGTATATTTCTTGGAGAAATTAATGTTTGTGTAGCTAGGCCATGCGCTAGACCTCCTCTTGGCAACAGAGGACAACCAGACGCCCCCAGAGCCTAGAGATGCTTTAGACAAGCCCAATTGCTCAGCCCTGTAGAACAAGTTGTTCATATCTCATGCACTAAACGTCAGAGCCGGACTTGAGTCCTCTGCCCCTGGCTGCCTGGCCTTTTGAGTCGTGTGAAAAGCTCCATTCATCTTTGAAACTGTAATGATGGCTGGCTAGCCTCAGCTTGGCGTTTTGGTTCCAGGAATTAGGCTACCTCTGTAGCTGAAACAAAATCATATCTTTGTATGCAACATCTTCTGGAAGATACTTTTCTGCCCCAACTTAGGCACTGTGCAGAGCAGCTAAAGGGTGTTAAGTGTGTGTTGCTGCGCAGTGCTCATTTTACAGACCTCCAGGATGTCAGTGGCTGCAAGCTGAACCTTTTATTTCAGCACCTGTGGTTATTTTTTGATTCAATGAGCTTGTGACAGCAACGGTTTTAGTGAGATTGTTCGTTAAGGAGGAATGATTTCTCCCAATCTTAATGGGAAGCAATGATTACTGGGGGGAGAATAACATTTGCAAATTTGCTTTTTTAATTGGGCAGCTACTCACTTCATTTACAATAGTTCTACTTAAAATAATTTCTTTGATAAGGTGCTGCTCCTATTTCTGTAGGTGATAGGAGCCAGCAAAACTGACCTGTCTAATATTGCTGAGATTCTGTTATCATGAGCTTAAGTAAATCTAAGGAAAGATGTTCTGTCTTTCCAACTAAGGGGTATACACACTTACACAACCAGCGTTACAGCAGTATTGCTATGGTATTTGTTAATAATGTGATCGTTGAGATTCCATAGAAAATAATCACCTTGCTGTTGGAAGAAGGTTTCGCCTCCCTCCAGCCATGTGCAGGGTTATGAAAATGTATATGTTGCCAGTAGCTGCCTGACACGGCTCTTCCTTGCCATCCTCAGGTATCTGAGAGGCAGTCACGCTCGCTTTGGGCATAACGTTTCCCAGCAGGCATGTGATGTTACGTTTAGAAGTACTGGCCCAAGACAGCATTGCTAGCATTACCGTCTCTGCGTTCTGTTGGCTTTCCCAGGAAACTGTGTGTTGTAACAGCCTTTCTTTCCCTGCTGCACCAGGTGCTGTTATTTCACGACCAGAATTATGGAATTCATTATGAATACACCATTCCTGTAAACTATACTGCTGAAAACAGAAGCGAGCCAGAAAAGCAACAGGATTCTTTGTACATTTGGACACACAGTGGATGGGAAGGGTGCAGTGTGCAGTGTGGAGGAGGTAAGGCCATGTGGGAGTTTGATGGAACTTGCTGTACAGTGTGTACAGACACCAGCCATTAGAGAGGTGCCTGCAGAAGACACTGTTGCCAAAGCGTGAAGGAAACTGAGCCATGGGAATGGATGTTGCCGTAATGAGCTCAAATGAGAGCTCGTTCTCACCAGCTCTCCCGGCTATCATCCACATCCCCACAGTTAATTTTCACCCGGCATTTTGGCAGGGACACTGCTTTGTCGGCTCGTTACTGTAGGCTGGAGCTGCACCTGGATTAGTGCTCCACGGATGGCTCAAGGCGCTGTGTGCAGCCCCATATCTCAAGTCTCCGTCAGATTCTTGGAGCAGAGTTTTCACAGGTGTTCAGGCATATTTGCTGAAAGACACTTCCTTCCCCAGGGATGAAACGGGGGCAGTGCTGCTGTGACAACTCTTGGAGATTGCGTCAGACACTCTTAACGTGGAGCGGCTTTTCTAGGCGTACATTCGCACGCTGCAAATCACACTTTTCACTCCCTAGGATGTGCTGAGACACAGATATGCTGAACCCTGGAGGGAGCTGACGCCTGTGAAGCCAGAGATTGCTTTATCAGCCACTGTCCATGGAGTTTTTACTGCTGGAAGAAGTAGGCTTTTCCTTGAAGAAAATGTATCATTTACATGCGTTCTGGCCAATCCGTCTTGGCAACTAGACCCAATTATCAATCATCTTACACGTCCCAAGAAGAGAGGGGTCATCTTCGCGTTTGCAGTCGCTGTCCTCAGTATATGGAAATCATGGTGTTTGTTTCTCTGTAAATAGAACTAATTTTAAAATCGATGCTTTTACTCACCTTTTAAAACAGTAATTTGTTATAGCCACTGGGTCCTCACATAAATAAGGAGGAAAATTGTGGCTATTTTGATTTGTATTGCAAGCCTGTCGCATATATGAATCAAATCAGTACCTGACAACATGGCTTCCACCAGTAGGAATTTGGATATGGCAGTCCATCTCATGTGCTTTGCTTGTCAGATGCTTTTTACTGCTTGTCCAAGCTGCATTCATTTATTCAGCTTCCCTTTCTGCAGTTCCAACCTGAGCTGCAATTTCAGCTGTCAGTAACTTCTCTACAGACGTCTACAAATCTTGTATTAACAGAATCTGAATTATTTTTTTATTAGCTGTTGCAGATCATGAACCAACTCAGTTTGTTGCAGACTCAGGGCTACAGGGAGAGAAGCTAGGAAACCAAAATAATTAGCAGTAAGGCAAAGTCACATGGTGCAGGGATGGCATTTTCCTTGTGACATGCAGTCATATCATGCTGCCCTGCGACACAGCTTTCTTGCTGTCACACAGCGCATCACTGAGCCCTGAGGGCCACCCTACTGCTATCTTAGTGACACTGCTGTGTCGGCTGATGCACAGGCATAGTTTATGTGAGAAAAGCTGACTGCTCCTGAGATGTCTCTCACTGGCGTGGTTGGTTAAGCAGCACATCTGGAGGCCCAGAAGATCAGAAATAATTAACTTTTGGTAGCTTAATTTCACCTCTTTGTGAAATACAAAGAAGCCCAGTTTATCATTCTTGAAGCCTGGTCAGTCCTTTTCATCCTGGCTTTTCCCGCATTGGGAACAGCAAGACGCAGCTCTCCTGTCATTATCCATCACGAAGGGGTAGGGCGATTATGTGTCTCCAGCTCACAGAACAGGAGCATCTGTCCAAGGTTATTACAGGGCACAGCAACATGCAGAGGAGGAACCAGGAATGCAAGCAGGTTGTTTTCAAGATTGTTTTCGCATTAAACGCTAGAAAGAGAAAGCTGAACATATTGCTGCTGCGGAACAGTCAATTTAACAATTATTTCAGAAAGATTTGTAGGTTCTCTGGAAGAGCAGAACAGGACATAGGTAAGACAGAAGCAGAAACAAGGTTGCTTACAGAGGTGCTAGGCCTGTGTAGATTAGCTCTAGTACAGATAGTAGTGAGCTCCTGGCTTTTGAGAGCTGATTAATAGTGAATTGACCTGATTTCTTAGGCACTGATTTCCTGATTTTTCAGAGTTGTTTTCATTTGACTTGCAGGTGAACGAAAAACCGTAGTGTCCTGTACTCGAATTATTAACAAGACTATGACACTGGTGAACGACAGTGAATGCCAACGAGTGAATCGCCCCGAGCCCCAGGTCAGGAAATGTAACACACACCCCTGCCAATCACGGTAAGGAGTTAAAAGTAACAAAAAACAATATCCTTTTTGTTCACCAACAACCCCTTTCCAAAGCCTCCGTCTGGTGAACATGGTGAAACTGTCTGAAGGCATTGGAACACATTGTTAGCCACGATATCCAGCTGTAATACTCATTCCCAGTTTCTGAGCAGATCAGATTTTCATTACCTAGGAGTCCACTTAATTTGTGGCTAGTAAGTCTGGGTTCCATGCAAGCTGCATTCATGCACTGTTTGGGGATTGTTTTCTTTTCCTCTTGGCTGCCTCCTAGAGTAGCGAGTAACTTGTGGTACTAAGCTAGACAAGGTCACAGTGATGGCATGTGTACCCTTGTTTTTTTAAGCAGCACAGAGTAGGGTCTGATTAATTGTCACATGGTGGTGTAAAAAACCTCCCGAACAACCAGCAACCTTTAAGCTACCATAGCTGATGTGCTGTGTTGCATGCCTGATCTGTATTGGCCCGAGTAGTTTAGTTTGTGAGTCTCTAGGCTAGGAGGGTGTCTTTTTTTGTGTGCAGTTTGTACAGTGCCTAGTAACACCTGCATAGTTCTGGAGATACACCTCAGTCTCTCTGAGGTCAAGAAATTCTAACGAAACGCATTTTAGGTGTTTTCCGGTGTGAGGATGCTTTTTGACATCAAGGGGTGCTTTTCTGCATCAGTAGGCGTAATTAAAGCTCTAACAGTAGTAAGTAATAATCTCTAAAAATAATGAAAAGCTCTCCACTTAATTTGGCGAGAGCACTTTTTTGTTTTCCGTTGTATAAAAAGGTGATGTTTCCAGCCAAAATGACAAAACATAGGAAAACAAACTAATTAGTTGTGTTTATTTCCTCACCAAAAAGTTCACTCTTGCTCTGAAGCAATGTTTACCACTGTGGGCTAATGTGGACCCTCTGCTCTTGAGAGTAGTTAGAACACCAAATCAGTTTAGGATAAAGTTCAGTAATGCCTAAAAAAGCCTGTTCAGAACAACCTGCCAGCTGTTGCATCTTGTTTAATCGGAGTAGCCAGGGAAGTGCCCTTACAAAGCTAGCCCGTCTGGTAGAAATAACAGGAGAATAAAGAAACAGCACATTTCTTTCTATCTAATTGGACCTGTCTGCTGATTAAAGCGCCCTGAAGCAGGCAAATTCAGTGTCAGGTAATTCCATCAGTGAGGTAGGCTGTTTCAGGTTTAGTTTTCTGCCTGCGCTAGGTATTACTCCTGTGCAACGCTGTGGCCATACTGCTTTCAGTGGTACTGAAATGTATAGTGAGATACCCTGTGTGCTTCCAGGTGTTTGAGAGCAAACTCCTAGTGACCTCAAGGAAACAACTGTCATTTCCGTGAGGAAGTTTCCTAAATTCAGTGATGCTGGGATTTGTGTCATGTCATTTTCTCTGAAAGGCAGAAACAAGGATCATCTGCTCATGTTTCTGGCTATTCTGGTTTTAAGTATTTCTTCTAGACTTTCTGTAAAGCCACTGGGAAGAGACCGTAGAGAGCCTGGGCGGGTGTATGGAGGGGTTTTGGGTAGGGGAGACGAAGAAAAGCAGCTTACAAAGCTCAGCAATTAGTGGACAGCTTCTGCCTCTACTAGCTGAGAGCAACATTGGGAGGTCTCAGCCATCAGGTCTGTTAGAGCCGTAAGACACAGTGCTCTTTCTCAGTGGGACCTTCATGAGCCTGAGTTGTTGGTGAAGTCTCGTCTTCGCTGCACACTTTCTCGATGACACTGCTGCCTCTCCAGGGCAGTGACACTGGGCAAGGTTAAATCACGCATCCCAGACCTCCTGAGAAGGAACCGCTAAAAAAAAAACCGCTCTGTCACTATATCCAGATTGCGTTTCTTTTGTGGATTCAGGTCCAGCCCTTACTGTTATCCAGGGTATCTCTTTTTCAGTGTGGAACTACAAGGCCACAGTTTAGCACAGTTATCCTCAGGCGAGCTTAGTGGCACAATGGCGCTCTCACTGGTCCATTTTTGCCAGGGCAATGGCAGCAGACACCACATGGGCTCAGTACCCGGAAAGGCCACAAACTCTGTGCTGATGATCTGACAGACTGCACTCGCTCACTCCCTGCATGTAGACCACACTTTCACACTTAACATGCTTTTGACTGGAAACATTTTCAGAAGCACATTCTCTGTGCCTCTGTAGAATTTAAATTTCCACTTGCGTTTGCCCACCCAGATATTAGAAATGCATGCTTAGCATATTCTCTGACCAAGAACATCTTAAAGAAACCATTCTCTTTCACCATGTCGATGCTTTTTTATGAGCCCTGAATTTGTTTTAGGGTTTCGAGTAGAATTATTATAGCATCTGTTACAATAAGGTCCTTTCCCATTTCCACTCAGACCTAAGCCCTTTACCTGAATGTAGAAGAAGAAACAGTGTTTTCCTTTCTGTAGTAATCTGCTCTGTTCTGTGCGTTTTGATCTGCATTTACACTTTTTTTACTCAAAATTTAAGTAGAACCACCTTACAGAGAATTTGTCTCTGGGGAAAGGTCTAATGGCCAGGGCATAGGCCTGGGCCATGGGAGACGGTCTCTGTTTCTCTTTTGGATGTGCTGTGCAACTTCGATCAAGTCACTATACCACACTGTCCCTTTGCTTCCTCTCTCAATCTATATATAATTTGGACTGTAAACTCTTCAGGACGGGGTGAGATCATGTTGTATAAGTGGAGGAGGAGGCTCTTGCTGTTGAAATTATAACGAAAATAAAAAGCAATAACCCACATTATATATAAAGTGATCTACAGAAAAAAGAGTATGATATTAATAACAGTCTCTTTCTTCCAGCACAATCCCAAAGTGCTTTGCAAATTATATATCCTTTGAATTTCAGCCACTTCTTGGGAGAGCCAAATAATGTGGGGCAGGGGACAGTAGTTTTGTAAGGCCAAGGAGGAGATTAGGGCTCTGCAACTGCAACCCAGCATCTGAAAAAAACAAAGCTGCACTGAAAAAAGGATCGGATACACTGACATGTTTTAAAATTAAACGTCAGAGAACAGAACTTTCTTAAGGGTTTTGTTGAAACTGGCAAAAATAAAAGAATCTTTCATTCTTTATTATTGTTACTCTTTCACCTTTTCAAAAAATGCCTCTTTTTCTTCCTATTTTATTCTTTATGTTCCTTGACCCTCTTTTTCCATTAAATTCTTTACAGCTTCCTTTCCTGTCCCAACTGCACCCTATTAGCACCTCTTTATTCTAATCCTTTGCCTAGCTCTTTAGATATTTTTTACAAAACCTTGCTGTAACCAGATGGAATCTGGATTCTTGCATGCGGTGCGTATGGGTTGTTTCCAGCACACTGAACACCAACCCAAATATATAGGCAAACCCAGCACTCATGTTGGCACAAGACTCAGAAATCACAGATCACATCAGCTGTTATTACTGAAAACATAGGTCGGCCAGTGGCCACACACTTCAGCATGCATGGTTGGTCTATGAATATGAAACTTCTCCCCTCTAATGCGGAACAAGAACCAAAAACACATGAAATTTCCCAACTGTTATACTTGTAGGGGCCTGTATGCTAACACTGTTAATTTTCCTCCTCTTTGCTATAATAGAATTTAAAAGAGGTTGAATTCTTTCAGGGACCTGCTGAATATGTGCTATTCCTACACAGATGCTTAACAGCAGCCTGTTAAGCTGCTTAACAGCTAGAAATCCCGCCTTCATCTACAGAAAACTACAGGAGACCTGAGCCCTTGTTTTCATTATTTCATACTTGAAAGGACCTTCTGAATCCAGGAGTCAGTCTTCTGCTATGACAGTCTTCAGCAGCATGTCATAGACTTCTTTCCATAAACCAATTGCGCTCTACAGTCTCCTTCCCTCACTGGAAGGCTAGGACCTGCTGTTCTTGTGGGTTGACATCTTTTCTTTCCAGCCTTAATTTATTCATTGCCATTTTTCACCCATTTGTTCTTGTGCCAGGACTGTTCCTTTGCTTATATAATACTTCTCCCTCCCTAGCTCTCATCCTTGTCCTAAGTGCCATATGATACAGCAGCCACTGTATCTCTTCCTTCCATTATTTTCCTGGGCTAAATCTATTACTTTCCTATGACTGCTTAGATGAGGGACTCTCCATTCCCTTGGTCACCTTCTCTACTAGTGCTCTAATTTAAATTCATCATTCAAGTGCATAGGTGATCAGAATTGTACAGAGTATCCCAGTCTCAGTCTCATCCAGCCCTTACACAGTTGCATTTCAAACTCTCCTGTCTCCACTGGCAGTAGCTCTCATGATAAATCCTTTGCTTTTTTTCCTTGCTGCATCCTGTTGGTGGCTCAGAGTCATCCTGGACATTTTCCTCCTCATTTGTTTCCAGTGTATGAATGCTAGTTTTAACAAGGAAATGCTTGTTGTTAGTCCCTAAGCACACAGCCTTGCACTTTCTACTATTGATTTTCATTTTGCCACTGTTGTTGCAGTACTTAAGGTTATTCAGTTCTTCCTGTATGATATCCTAATCCTCCATTGCATTGACAGTGCTTCCAGATTTGCATCGTCAGCAGTTTCAGTGGCACACGTCTTTTTGTGCCAAGGCCGTTAATGAAAATACTGAACTGAATCAGATGCAAGACAGATCCTTCAGGAAGTCCACTGAAAACTAATCTAAATTGCCTTCCTCCCTGATACTTCCTCTTTAAGTGCTTACACAGTAGCCAGTTCTCACCTACCATGCAATTTTCACATTGATATCCATGTTCTCCAGCTCATCACATTTCTCCGATTTACCTAAGCATTTCCGGTGCGGCAAAAGGAGTGCTTTACTGATATCCAAGTAGATTAAATCTACTGCATTTCTGCTGCCTAGAGAAGCAGTTGTTTTAATCAAAGAAATACATTCAGTTAGTTTTGATGGTCTGCCTGAAGGAAACTTCTGCTGCATTTTGTCCTGTTTTCCATTCGTCACTATACCCTTGGTTATTGTTTCCATCCAGATCCGTTCTAGAAGCTGTCACACTGTTGAG